ACAAAGCCTCAGTTCCAAACAAGGTTGGGGTAGACTAGAGTTGAAACCATCTCAGACGATGTTGGACAAGAATCCATAACTATTAAATATGTAATGGAAAAGAATAATCTTGTGATGGTACCAATTTTGAACTAGAATGTCAGATAGTGCTAAAAGTTTCATGAGTATTTTCATTCAATATTCACGCACCCTGTGCAGTTACACAGGAACAACAGATTTGTCTATGGTCTCCCCTAAATATGAACATCCAGTGGTCATATAGATTCTGGCATGTTCTTACTATTGCTTCCCTAGTCCTTGATTGGCTTTAGTTGTTTCTGTCTTTTCATTCAACTTACTAGCCATGACTGTTTTAAACAGCATAACAGCAACAAGGTCACGTATTGAAACCTCGATTCCTAGGAAACATGGACCTGCCATTGCTGGTTACGAGTCGGTACGTTAACTATTCTATAAGATAATGTGGATTTTCTTTGTCTTATCTATTTGTTACTGAGTTGGCAGCCTTTTTTTTTCCTATGCAGGCTCTCAAGAAGTTCTTTGAGCATGTTTTGCAAGTAAGCACATAATAATCTGTTCAAAGTTCACAAGAAATGAGAATGTTTATAAATGATTTTCTTTGTAACACATTACATTGCTTGTCTGCAGGCCTTGCTGAAGCACATTGATTTTGAAGTGGTCCAGTGTGTTGTAATTGCAAGCCCAGGTTTTACTAAGGTAATCACATACCTAGAGGAAAAATATATATTATTATAATACCTTCTTTATAAGGGTCACCAGTCTGTGAAAACATCTTAAACAATGTTTTTTGAAGAACGATAAATGTACCTGTCATGTGATGTTAAATCAATTTCTGAGTCGATCTTGATAGGGAAAATAGAAACCATTCAGTTAATGTTAATAACCTATCAAATAGTAAAATAAACCATGCTTCATGAAAAAGGTCTCGGGCTTATATGTTGCTCTGGTCGTATCATATGTCAGCACTGGTTCATTGTTTATAAGGTGGTAACGCGACCTAAGGCAAGCACCAACCACCCTGATGCCTAAGCACCTAAAGCGGGCATAGTTGTAAGGCGCTGCCAGGGCACCTTGGCTCCGAAGCACCGCTTAAGCATGCAAGACGGGACGCCTTATAAACAATATGTTGTGCAGCTATATTCTATGTCTTGAGGGACTACCCAAAGCCTGATGTTTCCATTCCCTAATTTTGTTTCCAACTTGAGTTGGTAAGTACTGTACTAACATCCACCGTCCACGTATGGTTTACCATCACTCGTTGTCCTGTTTTAATGGGTAACTAGGGAGTTTGCTGAGTACATACAGTTTAAAATTTATGTACCAGTGTAGTATGGTCAAATTATCATGGTTTTGGCTGCCCCTGGCAATATAGTCAATTGCATCATTGCATGTTACTTTTGCCATCTACACTTGTTTCCAACTTGAAACATGTGCTGCTGTCTACTTCCATTTTGGTCCATCTATTGCTACTTGCATAAGTTAAACCCTCCATATCTTCATGAAAATAATAAATTCCTATTCTTTTTTCTTCTCCTTTTATCTTAATTACAGGATCAGTTTCGTGATTACATGCATCTTGAAGCTGCACGGCGAGACTTGAGAGTAATAATTGAGAACAAATCACGCATTATTCTTGCACATGCACCTTCAGGCTACAAGTGAGTTCTATATTTGCTCATTCAATTGATTCTGTGTACTCCTCGACCTGTTTTGGCCGTCTATCTTTCCCCTTTTATTTAAGCTAGAACAGGGTAATACTTGGAGATTTAGGTTCTGCTTCTAAAATTCTGAATAATCTGTTCGAAACTTGTTTATGTGGTACTACTAAGTACTAACATGCCTATCCGGCTGATACAAGTGATTCATTTGCCTGTGACCAGTTGTATGGTCATTCTGGAATACTCTAATTCTCTACTGAGCTATATATTTGCTAAATGAGTGGTTGGTTTATGTATTTCCTGGTCCTCTATTTTCTCTTTGCTCTCTGTTTTCTTTGATCCTAATGTTGCTGTTGATTATTGTTATTTGGTATAGGCATAGTTTGAAGGAAGTTTTGGACACCCCAGGTGTGATGTCACTGATAAAAGATACAAAAGCGGCACAGGAGGTAAGTCTGATTTAGGACTCCCCGTTGTCAATATATCCTGTAACTTACACGTATGATTCCTCTAAAAAAAATTCCATATCTTGATTAACTACACATGCCAGACACTTTCAAAACAGATTCTAAGTGCAGCTGCTCAGATCTTGTCTTGTATTTCTATTGTAATTTGCAGGTGCAAGCTTTGAAGGAATTCTTTGCTATGCTTACTAATGTAAGCCTCTTGAACAAGTGAACTTGTAACTGATGGCTTTTGACATGTTCAGTACTCCCTCCGTTCCTACATTAAGTCTTTTTAGAGATTCCAATGCGGACTACAAACGGAGCAAATGAGTGAATCTACATTCTAAAATATGTCTATATATATCCGTATGTAGTTCGTATTGGAATCTCTAAAAAGACTTATATTTAGGAACGGAGGGAGTACTATTTAACTTAT